AAAGCTCATTTTTTTTCTTTCTCTCCAGAGAAACTTATTTTTAACAAAAATTTGTTAAAGACCCACCTGAGGCCAAAAGTGTGATTTCAACTTTATTCTGCATAACTGCCAAATCCCCCAATCAGAAAAGTCTTTTTTATCACAAAAACAATGACCACACCAGAGGGAGGGGGGATGGTCTTAAAAGTTTGCGATAACTATTATTATTCAAAAATACTTTTAAATTTGTCCACAGCCTTTTTAGAAAAAATAATAAAAACTAAAGCTGGATTTTTTTAAAAAAAGAAAGAAAAAAAAAAGGAAAAAAATAATAGATGCCATTTGTGAAAACTCTTGGTTACGTCCTAATGGAAACGCCAAACACAATGTGTCCTGACCTCTTACATATTCAGACCGCCTAATTGCACATCCAGACTGGGTGCTTTTACAACGCCAGCAAGAAAGCTACGAATCTATTTCTGGCTGCGTGGTCACACTATTGTGTGGGTGCAGAAAAGTTCTGCTGCATTAAACTCATTTTCCAGCACGGCAGCCCACGACAACACTTAAAGTGCAAAACAGGTCATCGAGTGGAGTGAGTGGAAGAGGATGTCTAATTCAGGCGAGGAGTTTGAGTTAATTCATCAGAGTGCCGGTTTGTCTAAACTGCCATTGCCCTGCCGTTCTGATTACATTAGCAGGGGGAAAAAGGTTGTTGCCACGAATGGAAGACGCAGCAAGCAGCTGTCACAGTCCGAGAGGGCTGATGTAAGCCCCTATTCTCAGCAAGTCCAGGCCGGTTTCAATTACGCACTAACCCCTGACCCCACGCTGCTTGTAACCGAGAGATGAGAAGAGGTGCTGGGCTTGACGCCTAAGCTCCAAACAGCAAGGACAGAATAGGATTTGGTGGCTCTAAATGAGGAGTCTGTGGCACTGTCCCTTTTCGGAGTGAATGGGATTCCATCTGTAGTGTGTGTGTTTGGGGGATGGGTACTCGCGCTTTTCTTTGCCTTTTTGGAGCTGTTTTCTATAGACGCGGCTACACTTTAGGCAGTGGCGTGAGGCCACCTCTTCTGTTCTTCCTTCTGCCCCTTTTGACCCTCTGTCTGTGGTCAATGTGGAGATTGCCAGAAAGAGACAGCTGCACTCCAGGCTTCCCGCCTCAGTTGCCCGTGTTGCTCTTTGAGCCTTTCTCTGTTTTCCATTGATTTCTCCATCACCCTTTTCGCTGCGTGTATCTGCTGCTTTAGAAAATTTCATCTCTGTGGGGTGGATGAGGGCTAAGTTTCCCAGCCTGAAAATAAGAGAAACTGGAGATCCCTGGCTTTGGCTTCACGCAAACAATGTCCTTCCTCTCCAGGCGAAGAGAAATCCCTGGGGAAATCAGATAGCATGCAGCCACATACAAAATTCAAGGCCGATAATCAAACCATCAATTGTTGGGATCAAGTCAAATGTGTTTGGCAGACATAGATGGGCTTTTAAATGCACATCACACGAAACAGCAGGAGCTGGTCTTCCATTACAGTACAAATAATTTATACCCTGAGAGATTACTGTAAAGATTAAAAGATACGAGAGCATTTCAACGCCAGAGATTCCACACGAAATGCGATCAATTAAAGCCTGCAGTGAGTTTACTAAAAGATGCTGATGGTGGAAGTTTCTTCTCTGATTTTGTAAGCACAGATTTTTTCTCCCTAATTATGGTCAAATTATAGACTCTAGCTTTGGGATCACCAGCCTCTACTCCCGTTCTCTCCCACAATCCTTCATTCTTTTGTAAAGAAGGGGAAAACGCAACATATCTGTTTTGGAAACTTGATGGAGAATACTGTGGTAAGCTGAAGTGTTTACTATAAGGAGCCTTTTTGGCATCTCACATCTTCATGAACCCACATAATTTGGCAGGAACACTCCGCAGCTCCCCTTGCAAAAAAGTAGCCACATGATATTAACAAACACTTTTATCTATTCAATCATAATTTATTTAACATTGGTCCATTAAATGAAATGATTCGTCATCTTTCTCAAATATCATTCAAATATTTTTATCATGCAGTGATAAAGAAAAAAATCTTTAATTCTATTTAACAAATTCTGTTTGTTACACTACAGTGAGGACAGGTTACTTTGTATTGTGCATTTTACACATGCAAGAAATATTTAGTTCCGCTTTCTCTGAAAGCACAAAATTAAATATAGACTTTTACAACAAGAGTGCATAACTTTGAAACATTGGGACATGAAGACATAAGGATACCAATTCAAGAGATGGTCTCTGTTCAGAGAGATTTATATTATAATAAACTAATATCATTAGGTGCGACCAGTTGAATTGCATAACGTAACAAGTGATGGTCATCTAGGAAACTTTCTGATCAGAGGGAGCCCCTAAAATCTCAGGTAAAGTAAAAATATCTTAATTTGTGTTTGAAGATGAAAGAAAGTCTTTAGAGTGTTTATGAATTTGTGAACTTTTTGATTTTGACAACAGTAGATTAGCACAGTTTTTAACTACGCTGGTTCGAGCCTAGGCTGGGTCTGTTGACATTTCTGTGTGGTTTCCACCACAGTCCAAAGACATGTGGTACAGGTGAATTGGGAAGGCTCAATTGTCTGTGGTGTATGTGTGTGAATGAATGTGTATGAATGTTTCCCAGTTATGGGTTGAAGCTGGAGGAGCTTCCGCTGCATAAATCATATGCTGGATAAGTCGTTGGTTTGGTCCTCTGTGGCGACCCCAGATTAATAAAGGGACTAAGCCGAAAAGAAAATGAATGAATGAATTTGGACTACATGTACGTCAATGAACTTTTTGAGTCTAAATGCCACAAAAGGTTAATGACTAGCTGTTGAGTTACTTAAAGGCACCAACTGGACACACTTCACTTGACAAGAACCTAAAAAGACAGCCCAGAAACTGTGTCATCTAGCACAAATATTTATGGTCTTTTTTCAAATATACAGGTAAATTAAAAATTCAATAATGAATTTATAAGCTGCTTGTTTTATTTCAATGATTAGTGTTCATTTTGCCACAATCCACCATTTTCTAGCTATTGTCATCTTTGTGTGTGTCTGCTAGGGGTGCTCGATTATGGGATAAATCATAATCACAATTATTTTGGTCATAATTGTAATAACAATTATTCAAAAACATTAATCAACTGGCATTATAGAATGTAAAATAAAACATGTCTAAAAGGTTAGTTAGCTAAAGTAAGCTAACTTAAGGACCAAGTCTGCATAATAAATTAAAAGAAATCACAAAAAACTCATCAAAAGCTGCGGCTGTCATGCACAACTTGTCAGAGAACCACAGATCTGTGATCAGTTATAAATCTCCATCCGAAGGCCAGGTGGCACTTTTGTGCAAAAACTTCAAATATGCAAAGGGAAAGAAAAGAAACTGAAAAATATTTTCTGAGTGAATAGTAGTTTCTGAATAAACAGTGTATTTAATGGAGTAAACTACGACTTTGTGTAAGAAATTTGCTAAAGGTTTGCTACTGACAACAAAACTGGATTCAATGGCAAATGCAGAACAATTGTTAATTAATTGTGCATAAAAAAAAAAACTGAAGTCAGATCTTTTGTAACAGTTTTGACACTGAAGCATTGGAAAGACAGACACAACACCCATTCAAAGAGATCAGCGACACCAAGTGATAAGAAATTTAAGCAAAAAAAATAAAAAATAAAAAATGTTGCTAACAAGAATTTAGAAACACATTTGCACTTTCATGCTTTTTCATGCTTCTAATATTGGCCCAATACGTTGTATTACCATTAGTTGCATCAAACATTCATGGCCCACATTTTACAAAAGAAAAACACTTTGTAAATCACTTTGCTTATCACTCCTTATTAAGAGTTTAATCCTTCATTACTGAAGTTTTTGTATCAACCTCAGGTAAAAATAAGAATGCAAATTAATTTCTTATAAATATCATATATTTAAACAATTTCTTCCAATCATATGACTTAATTTAGAGTAATAATACTGACTTTACTTACCTTTAGTAAAATTCTTATTATTGTGACAATATTTTACATGATTGACACTGTGTCATTTTTATTAATATTACTTCATGTGTTAAAAGTCATATACATCATATTTCCTCTCAGAGCTCAGGTTCATATCTCGTTCTCAGAATTACAGGCCTTCTTTGCCGGCAGCTAGCTCTCCCCAACTCTCACATGGTCACCCACTGAAGCTAAGCAGGGCTGCGCCCGGTCAATACTTAAATTGGAGACCACAAGGGAAAGCTAGGTTGCTGCTGGAAGTGGTGTTAGTGAGGCCAGCGGGGGGTGGTCAATCTGCGGTCTGTGTGGGTCCTAATGCCCCAGTGTAGTGAAAGGTACTCTATACTGCTCAGTGAGCCTTGTCTTTCAGATAAGATGTTAAACCGAGGTCCTGACTCTCTGTGATCATAAAAAAAAATCACAGGATGTCCTTTGAAAAAGAGTAGGGGTTTAACCCCAGCATCCTGGCCAAACTTGCCCATTGGCCTCTGTCCATCATGGTGGATGAGGAGATTTCCCCCAATGTGTAAAGCACTTTGAGTATCTAGAAAATAACTATTTAAATGTAAGGTATTATTAATATTAATTATTTTGTTTGTTTGGTATTGCTTAATGTCAGTGTTTAGATGACATCTCACAATTCTGCATTTTACCCTACATTCTGAATTTACATTAAAGAGGCAAAATTTTGTATATAAAAATTATCATTCTGTATATGAAAAAGCTAAATGTTTTGGTATATACTATTTCATATTCATATTACTGCACGAAAACAGATTTAACTTTCACACCATCACAAAAAAGGCAAAAGACTGAGTTTTCTACTTTTGGTCAGGAGACATTTGCTCAATTTCTCTGAGGTCAAATTTAAAATGGGATCTCTATGTCATACTAGCTATATCCATGAAACCACATAACATCACCATAACAGCATGACCACATGACACAAGAAAACCACAGCATTTATAATCAATAACTGAGACACTAACCCTTTTTCTGGGAGGTCCTTTCTCTTCCTCCTTCCCAGCCTTGGCGTTCTTGGCTTGCTTTGCGCTCTTCTGCTCTCCTGGCTGCTTGATGGTGATGCGTATCTCAGGAGGACAGATGTAGTTCTCCAAGTTCTTAGGAGGCTTCTTGGCCCGCTTTGTTGTTTGGATCTTCAACTTAAGGCTGCCTTCAGAGAAATTAGCCTCCTTGATGGAGAACTCCTGCTCCTCCAACCCGTCTCCCTGCCCCCATCTCTCATTGTCTGCATTGGAAGTGACCTCCATGTCCTTCCCCAAACCGAGGTCTTCGTCCTCTTCATGATCTTGCTGCTCTCCAGGTAAAGGGAGGCTCTTTATTGAACCAGCAAGGAGACCCACCTCACTGAGGTCTGCTCTGTTGATGGTTGTAACGGTGGAGAAGAACTCCTCATTTCCTTTGGGCCGGGCTGTCCGAGTAAGGTCTCTTTGCTCCATTGACGACCCTGAAACTTGGTCCAAGAACCAGGAGGCAGTGGGACCCAAAGGGACAATTGGGCAATGGTCCAGGAGATTGAGTTTAATCAGGAAGGGATATGATGGCTTTTGGCTCTACTGCTCCCGAAATCTTGTAAATCCCACTAGGGTGGAGTTTTTCCCAGGTGAAACTGAAAGTAGAGTGAACAAAAAACATTTTTTGATGAATAAAGCTTTAAACACATGCATACATGCCCTGACTTGCCAAATCCTATTGAACAAGTTAAACCACATCATACTGTATACTCACTTGTGGTTGTCTTAATCAGACATGACATGAGAAAGCGACAAGACTAAATCTCATTTTTTTAGTGCTAATCCGAGTTTCTGTCATCCTAGCCAGTCACAACATGCAAGTGACAAGATGTTTTGATGGTTTCTATTTCTGTTACACTATGCTTAGTAGCCCCTCCTAAGACAACTCTCGTTGGATTAATGAGTTAAATTAGTTGAAGCCAAATATCAAATTCCCTGACAAAAAAGGTACATTTCCATTTACACTGAAAGAAAAAACTGGCTGCTATGGTGCTTTGCATAATATTTAAATGGCTTTAGCAGAGCTTTACCAGCCACTATGAGATCAACAATCGATAATTTACTTTAGATTTTGCACAAAAAGAGTGCTCCCTCTCCCATTTTGATGGCTCAATTGAAGTTTTGCATACGTTTAAATACTTTTACACTTGCTTTCATCTCATTTTGAACACCCAGTCTTTGAAGTGGTATTTTTGAAGTCAAAGCTCCTACATTTATATTACCCTGATAGGTTAGCCTTTATTAACAGGTACAGTCTGGTGACTAAATTTCACTTGAGTGCCAGTTGATGATCATAAAAGGAATATAATGGAGCTGAAATAATATTTCAACCATAACAATAGGTGAAACAATGCCATAAAAAGTGTGGCAAAAAAATATATATTTTGATAAATGAAAGTAAAATTTCAAGGTCAATTCCATGATATTCTAAATACTCCATGACCGGTGGGGAGTTGGGATCCCTGTTTTACCATATAAATAAAACCTTAATAAAGCTTTAAATAAAGCTTTAACTTTTTAAAAGTTTTATGCTAATATTATTTATTTTTTATTTATGCTAATGTTATTTTTTAGTATGACAGAAAACTAACCCACTAAAATTCTTGAACAATACATGAATAATACATCCCACCTTAATTAACAGAATTTAACAGAACAGGTTAATTGACAGAATTAAATATAATTTTTAACACTTAACACATCAGACTTGGCAAACAGTGATGAAATACTTCCTAAGTCCCACAGTTCCTACTTAAGTGGGCATGGTGAATTACTGACCAAGACAAATGTGTCTTTGTTAAACCACCAATTAATCAGGATCAGGGTTTAAGCACACAGTTTTCAACCTGAAACAGTTGTACTGCTGGCTCCAGGCAAGCTCCCTGACACCATAATTACATTGCTGACCAGCTCATTTGCTTTAGTGGTCAGTTGAGTAAGCCTAGTCACGGTGTGAAAGTCAACAAATGAGGCCTCTGGCCCAGTGATAAACACTTTCCAGACATCACACAGACCACAGACCTGAAAAAGCCCAATTAGGGCTGAATATAACACCTCCAAAGTATCAAATTGGGTACTGATTGAATTTAGTATAATCTTTTCAGGATAGCATCATTCAGCGTATCAATTATATCTGTCTAAACAAACCAAGACTGCACTATAGGTCTAAAAACAACACTAAAACATATTCTGAATGGCTCAGACTGATGACATGCAGATATTATATCATGTCTATGTCAATGCCCGCAGACACTAGGGCTGTGCAATTAATCAAAAATCCAGTTTCAATTTTGGCTTCTAACGATTATGACAAACCATTAATCGAGATGAACGATCATTCCATCATATACTGCCTCTTTCCAGTTGTACACATTTGTTGCTCTGCAAAGCTCAGTTCCACGTGAAAATGACTAAAAGCATGTACTGTAATGTAACTTTTGCAGCACGGGATGCGCATCATTCATATTTTTAAAAGTGCGAAAGAGCACAAGCAGGTGTGTGTGTGTGCGAAACACTTAGCTTCGGACAGGCTCGAAGACGAGCAGAGCACAAACATCTAATGCCATCTTAATGTGAGCACTTTAATGGTCAAACGCATGCACATTTGTGTCAGAGCGCTGTGTTTAGTGATTATTCATATTAACCCTCGTTTGTGTAATAAACGAACAAGTTGAGAATCAAAATACACTTGAAAGAGAAACCATATATCAGAGCCGCACTATTCTTAACGTGACGCCACGCAATATTCCTGCTGTCGCCTGTTATTAGTATTAATCAAACAACAAAAGCAGAAAAACCCTCACTGCTCTTGACTGAAGGACTTTTGGAGAAAAAAATATTATAGGAAATACTGTGAAAAATTCCACTATTAAACATAATTTGGGAAATATTTATACGTTAAAAAAATTCACAAAAGGGTGAAAAATTTTGACTTTAACCGATAATGTTTTTGAATAATCGTTATTACAATTATGACCAAAATAATCGTGATTATGATTTATCCCATAATCGAGCACCCCTAGCAGACACACACAAAGATGACAATAGCCAGAAAATGGTGGATTGTGGCAAAATGAACACTAATCATTGAAATAAAACAAGCAGCTTCTAGTTTAGAAAAGAATTCAACATAAACTCTCCATTCCCCAGGCCTGAGCCGCATGATGTCAGTATTGATGTATATCGACTGAGGGTTCGGAGCGTCAAGTGCAGTCTCTCATCTGCTGTTGGCTTGTTGTCAGACAGAGCTCAGTGTCATTTACCCTTTCAACTGCCAGACAGGTGACAGATGAGAGGCTACTGAAAACAACGACAGCTATCGGCAAGACAGCCTGGATCCACACTAGACTAAACAGCTCTATCTATCCATCACATCATGACAGTCAAAATGGCATGATTTTCATTCCAGCCCTTTGCCGACTCACACACAGCCATTCACAAATCCTCAATGAAGCCCAGTTGTTTATATCTTACTCGTCTATACCTCTGAGTAGTGTCCCAGACGATGCATCTTGGGTGTTCTCGCTTGGCGAAACAACAAAAAAATGTGATGCAACACCACACTGGCCACGTACACACTGCAGCTAAAAAGAGTAACTCCACATTTAATACTGTTCATAGTTCAGTACAGAAGCTTTTGTCATTTATTTCTTGTAATTATGACTTTTTTCTTGTAACTCGAGTCGTGGTTTCAAGCAGAACATTATAATTTAGAACTTTAACTCTTTTAATTGCAACCACAGTTCATACAATTACAACTTATTACAATTTTTGGTTTATATCTCTCAGCTGCAATTCTATCTCGCATCCACGACTTAGTCATGATTACAACTTTATATATTATAACGGTCACTATAAACTATTCAGTATTACTTGTTTGTCCTTCAATGTACTGTGTGCTGGAGTGATGGTTTGGATCCAGGAAAAGTGGTTGCTTACTGTAGGAGTGCCCAAACTCCGTCCTAGAAGGCCGGTGTTTCTAGAAAACCTAGTAAGAGCTTGATTAGCTATCCCAGGTGTGTCAGATTGGGGTTGGAACTAAGGCTCTGTTTACACTAATACACTGTAGTTAGGGCTGCAACAAGGAATTGATTAAGCTGATTAAAATCAATTACTAAAAGTGGTGGCAACAAATTTCATAATTGATTCGTCATGTCGATGACTAGGTGATGTTTGGTTATTAAAAAAAAAAAACCTTTAGTTGAGCGTGGAACTTCTCGCGCATGGATGCGCCTCATAGACAGGATAGTGCAAACAAACAAGCGGAGGTAATATTAACAGAAAGATACATGGCGAGGAAGGAACCAACAGTAAAGTAAATCACTACATAATCCTGCTTTTGTTCCGTTTTGAAGTGAGGAACATACTGTCCCTGGTGGTGGGGTAAACTTGTTACCAGCTTGACAAGCTTGAGGTAAAAAAAAATTCAAACTGAACTTTGGTGCGTTGGCTGGTGCTGAGCCAGAGAAAGATGTATCATATTATTACAACAATGCAGTGTTTTTAACCAGCCAATGCTTATTTTATGTTTTAGACATGTAAATACACACAAGTGCTAGTAAAACAATACACAATTTACCAATTAGAGTTGGTAAAACACACAAGAAAGTCTACTGAACATTAATAATCCATTCAAAAATAAATTACCCATGTGTATTATTCATATCAGATACATGTAGTGAAAGTAACAATAAAGTTTAATCTATTCTTCTTCCAGCTGGTGAGCCACTTGCTTGCATGCATTTCAGGAGTCCTGCGTGTTTTGCTTTTATAAATGATGCAACAAGCATCCACAAGTAAATGCCCATGTAATGTTATAGAAGAAGATCAAGACCATTCGTCTTTTAAACAACAAAAAACACTCACTTACACATTTTTGTGAATTGGATTATCAGGTAGTTGATGTGATGAGCAAGCATGTGAATATGTTGTATTAAAACAGAAAAGCAAAATAAAAGGGATTTATCTGTCATACAGCGATATTGTAGCTGCGGTGTCACGTGAAAAACATGACGTGTCACTAAAGAAACATTAGGGGTGAGCATTCTAAAATAATGATCACCTAACAAAACTCACTCCCGGTTTCAGCCCTAGTTTTAGTTTTAAAACGGCATTTTAAAATGAAGCCATCCACATCCAAACTTCAGCGCTCCTAAAACATCTCTGTCCACACTATACCGCTGGAAAAGACATCACGTGACCACACACACACTCTGGCACGCACTGCAACGGGTGCTTTGAGAACATCTACCCAGATGAGAGCTGTGCATGTCGCCCTGTTCATCAATGATCTACTGCTGGATCTAATCTCACTGTATTTGTTAAACGTGATAGTTACTTAATCTTGTTGTCTATATCTAACCACATATTCACATATTCATTTTGAATCTATTACTTGTTCTCAGGTAATGTGTGTTTTGGCTGAGCGCAAAGATAAGTTTTAGGACTGTGCAATTAATCAAAAAAACTATTTCGATTTTGATTTTGGCTTCTAACAATTATAAAAAAACTATTAATCGAGATACACGATTATTGCATCATATAACGCAAATCACGCAAAATTCCTGCTGCCGCCTGTTTTCTACAATTAATCAAA